TTTTTAAAGATATAAGTTCATCCTGATGTTCCTTTCATCAAGAGCTTTCATTTGAGTACCTACATGCATTTTTATATATTTTTCATATATACATATATGTAATATATATATAAATATATAAAAAGTGCATGTGGGTACTCAAATGAAAGGTCTCGATGAGTGTAACATCAGAATGAACTTATATTTATGAAAATGTAAAGAATTAAGGAATTACGGTTGAATTTTGTTAACTAATGATGTTTTTAACGATATAAGCTCATTCCGATGTTACACTCATCAAGAGCTTTCATATGAATACCCACATGCATTTTGATATATTTTTCATATATTCATTAATATAAATATAAAAAATATATGAAAAATTGATGTAGGTAGTCAAATGAAAGGTCTCGATGAGTGGAATGTCGGGATGAGCTTCTATCTTTAAAAATGTCAATAGATCACAAGATACACGGTCGTTTCTTAATTATTTTAAATTGCACTGTACTTTCTTAACTATTGACGATTTTAAAGATATAAACTCATCCCGATGTTACACTCATCAAGAGCTTTCATTTGAGTACCCACATGCATTTTGATATATTTTTCATATATACATATATATATATAATATATATAAATATATGAAAAATTGATGTGGGTACTCAAATGAAAGGTCTTGATGAGTGTAACATCGGGATGAGCTTATATCTTTAAAAATGTCAATAGTTCACAAGATACAACGTCATTTCTTAATTATGTGTCTAGAGATAGAGCAATTTTCATCCGAAAATTATTAAATAATTTCTTTATAAATTGTTTTAATTATTTTTTAATGAATTATTTATTTAAATTGTATTAAAAGGCTAATAAATAATTTCTTGATAAATTATTTAATTATTTTTTTATAAATTTATTTACTAACATTTTATTAATTATTGTGCGTATTTTTCATTTATACCGAAAAAATAAAAAAGAAATATTATCTTTATTTCTATTCAATTATACTCGAAGCTTTGATCATTTCCAGACTGGAAATTACGCTTCTTTATAAAATTATTTTTAAACTTTTAAAATATGTACTCTTAACTTTTAGTGAAGTTTACAGAAAAAAAATTTTAATTACGAAGTTACAATCTTAAGAAGTTAAATTCAACTCGAGCGATATAAAGTTATGATTAAATAAATTATTTTTTAAAAATGATAATAATCGATATATTATTCATAGAGCAATTATCTATAAGAAGAAATAAAACTACTTATATATTTTAATCAAAAGAATTAGTAAAAAATTTTTCTTATAAAAAAAAAAAAAGAAGAAGAAATAGAAGTAATTTTGTTCTCAATTAATTTTTATGGCTAATTTTATATGAAATAATTATTCCGTGCCCTAGAAAGAGAAAAATAATATAATTTTTTTTTTTTAAATTGGTTAATTTTGACCCAGTTTACAAAATTGAACTCACTAAGAAATAAGTAAAATTTTATTACTCTATAAATTAAATATTTCTAAGTAATTAAAAATTTATAAAATTAAATTTTAATTAAAAAAAAATTTTACTTTAAAAATTATTAAACAAATAATTATTTTTATCTTTCTATTAAAAATATTTACCTTAAATATCTTTACTCTGATTGCCAATTGGCCTTGGCTTTGGCATAATTAAATAATAAACTAAACTAACATATAATTATTATATAAAGTAGGTGCATAGAAGTACTTTACTAACTAAAAATAATTTTTATGAATATTAATATCATAAAAATTCAAAGCCAAAAGCTTTTTTAACCAGCCATAAAAATAAATAACTATTACTTAAGCCCGTAAAAAAGAAGAAATGCAATTCTTTAATTTTTGAAACTAGCTTAGGTAAATAATTTATTTAAACGCAAGTACAAACTGAAGAGCATTAGCGTTGCATTATTAATATAAGTGAAGAGAAAAAGAAAGTAGAGCGTAAACTCACCTTAGCATTCCTCGCGTCAATACAGTGGGGCTGGAGTAATTGTTCGAGGAAGAGTGCTGGACTAAGCTTTCTCATGGCAATTCTCGCAATTTGAGCAGCATTAGGGCCCCCTTGGCGCGTTAAACCCCAAGCTACTTGCGGCAACCATCGTTTAAGAGCTTCTTCACTTACGCCGAAAACCACGACCTTAAATACATTCCCATTTAATAATAAATCACCATGATTACTCAAGTCTGCTCTATAGTTTAGTCTAGTTAACTCTCTCATCATGTCCTCGGCTGGAACCCAATAAAAATAATTCAAAAAAGTGTTTACTCACTCTGGCAACAGCCATTCCAGCAGCAGCCACTCGACAACTCCTCTCGCACCCCAGGACCGCGTGCAATAGTGACCCTAGTCTCGGCTCAATCGCAATCAATGCCGAGGGGCTCCTCAAAGCTGAAGCGATTCTCTCAAACCCGCGAACTCGGGCTCTCCAGTCCTCCTGGAGCAGTTGAATAAATTTTTTATTTTTTTTTACCTCCAATTGCTTCAATTTTACTCAGTACTTAGTACCTTGGTACTCAGCTTAGTCCTTCTCGGGGTTTAATTTACATTTATAAAACTATAAATTAGTTTGAGTTTTAAATTAACCCGAGGATTTTTCTCAGACAATAAAAAAATCTACCCGGTAATATATCTTCGGTAAAATAGTATTCCTTTGTTATAATTCATTTATTTTCAATGGTCATTTTTTATTTTATAAATTATATAATTATTTAGAGTTTTAAATATCAAATTGCTTCTTAAAAATATTCTTTTACTAAATTCCCGCCTTTTTTACAAGAAAAACTTCATTTTTAAGTATAGTTAGTCTCTATCGCCTTCTTTTGGAACTTTTTAAAAATAAGTGATTAATTAAGCAGAAGATATTAAAATTTGATACAATATTCAGTTAATAACTAAAATTTTACATGAAAATATTGATAAATAAATAAAAAAAATTTTTTTTTCTAGTTTTCTAAACAAAATTATTTAAAATGTTGCATTTTTTGTACAATGTATGCAAATTTTATCCGTCAAAAATGTATTTAAAAAAAAACGCGGCTTTTTTACTAAAAAAAACTCCATTTTCAAGTATAGTTACAGTAGCTATACAACTGCCGCCATTTTTTTAAAATACAACCGATAAATCGACTGTTATAAAAATTTTACTGAATCTTCACTAAAAAAAAAACTCTAATTTTACCTAATAGGGTAAATGCACCAGTTGTTGACCGGTCACCAATTAGTTGACCGATGTATAAAAAAGTTAATTAATTAATATTTTACAAGGGTTTTTTTTTCTTAAAGTATTAAAATAAAACAATATGGCATTTAATCATCATAATAAAAAATTACGCAATTAATTGGGCAGTGATTATAGCTTTAAAAAAATATTCTGAGTTTATTTACAACGCAACCAGCCATAAAGCGGTCAAAAATAACTAGCGTACAATTGGAGAGTGAGAGCATTTCATCATTAATTTAGTGATATTTATCGGCATAATATAAAATATTTTAGTTTTATTATGTTAATTAAAGATCAGATTCCAACTTTTTTTAAAAAATAAAGTTAAATTATAAGTTTTAATATTATTTTAAGACCGGTCAACTATTGGATCCGTCAGAAGCCCTTTACCCAGTAAAAAATTTATTCGGTCATTTATTAGACCCTCTGATTTTATCACAATCCAATTAATGACCGTATAATTATAATACTAACTTCTTAACTCGAAAATTAAATCTGTCAAGTGTTTAAAGTACTTTAGTCATTCAATATTTTGTAAATATAAAAATAATCATTATAAAATGTATATTTATAATTAAAATAATACTTAAAATCTTTTTGATTATTAAATTTTATTTTGTTCTAAATTTTTTTAGTGAACGGTTGTATCAAAGAACGAATTATTAGAAGAAAAAATTGCTAAGCAATTAAAAAAATAAAAAAGAGTTACAAGCTAGTAAAAAAGCTTTAATTGAAAAAAAGAAGGAGAAGAATAAAAAAATTTCAAGTGAATCAGAGAAATTATTCGTCATCAAAATGAATTTGTGACCTAAAGAAATGTGACTTTACGTTAATTATTGCTATTATTTATATTATTTTATAAAAAAAAGTACGATTTAAAATTATATTGTATATTTAGTTTTGTTAAAGATGTCGTTAATACTCGTCAAAAGTACTGCATAAATTTAATTACATACATATAGTTTACAAAATTACTTATAATTATTTAAGCGGTCAATTAATTGGAGAACGGTCGGTCATTTATTGGGTTTCTTCGGTCAATAATTGATGATTTTAGTATTTCAACATTTAAATAACAAAATTAATATAATTTTGTTAATTTTTATTATAAATAGTTATTAATTATTATTAATTAAGTATTTAACTTTAATAAAATCCATTACAAATTGTTCTTAGTGGGTTAATAGATTTTTTATAGCTTAGTACAGAAAAAGAAAACCTTAATCGGTCAATAATTGGTGCATTTACCCTAACAATAATTAAAAAACTAATAAAATTTTTTTCTAATTTTCCAATTAAGGAGTTGAGTTTCAAAAGGATATCTTTTTATTTTTAATTAATCAAGACAAAAAACTAGTTATTTTTAATTATAAATATTCCTTGTATGTGTGTCGGGCATGAAAAATCTCGACATGCAAGGGGGTGAAGACGAAGAAGGTAGTGACAAAAAAAAAATAATAATAATGGAAAAAGTGAAATTATGATTCGGAGAAAAATAAAAAGTGTGAAAAAACAAGGGAAGTCATAATAATTTCCCACCCTCCCTTGTAAAACACTCTCCAGTGATACCTATTGCTATTATAAATATTCTTATTGAATTTTTTTAATTTAGCTATAAAGTGCTATTGATAATGAAGCTATAATTCGATTTTCATTTAGAAATCTTTATAATTCTCGAAGTAATTAATATTTAAAACTTCAAAAAACTGCTCTTTTAAAATATGAGAAGATACTCTTTTGAGAATTACTTCCTTAATTACAGTTTTTTAGGATACTGCGCTTTATACATCATAAATGCATTTTATAAAAATAACAAAATCGATTTTAAGATATTCGAGAGTAATCAAAGCTTAGCCTTCGCTCTTAAATCTTATGCAATATTATTTTTTAAAAATAAAAAAGCAATCGCATGTGCAACCTCACGATCCAAAAATGAGCGCGCCAATTACTGCAAATTTTATTACTTTGTAAATAATTAAACCCAATTATTATCACGAGCATTCAGGCAGCGATAATTAACAATTTTCAATAAGATAATTAATATAAATTAAATTATATTAAATGTGTTAATTTTGAACATAAATGAAAACATAGAGAGTTAAAAAAAATATCCACGTTTTGGCAAGGGTCTGGCATTGTATATTTGAATTTTCTCAGGGGAGTACAATCTCTGATCTGATAAGACTCTCTATGACTAACCTCTGACTCTCTCGCTCGGTTGGGCTGAATTATTGCGATAATGTAACTACTATGAATTTGCATATTGCACTAGGTATATAAGGAATAACAGTTCTTAGTAACACGCAACACGTGCCTCATTATTAATATAATTACTGTTATTGTTATTATAATTATTTCATTTAAAAAAATTAAATTTAAATTGCTAATATTTTATGTTCATATAATTCATTTTTGAGATTGCATTTAAAAAAAATTTTTTTTTTTTTTTATTAAAGCTTGAAAAAAATTTTGAGATAGTTTTTTAATCGTTAATATTGATCTTATACTTTATACGCCTACCCGATTTTATCTTCACGCGACAGAAGACAGAAATGGGGTCAGTTGCAGGTGAAGAAAGAAAAAATAAATTTGCATAGGGCGTACTCTATGTCTCGACATCTACATTTGCGTTTACGTTTATAAATGTATTAAATTTATTTTTTATTTTTTTGCAATTTAAAGATCCATGATTTAATATAAAAATTAAAAAAAGGCCATTCGGCAGCTGAAATAGAAGTATATTTCATTATGACTAAAATAATTAATAGAATAATCTATATTATTAAGAGAATAAGCAAAATTTTGTGGCTAGTGTATTTATAAGATAAAATGGATTTTTATGGTTAAATTTGGTATTGTTGGAAAAGTTTTGACCTAGAGTTGTGCCTTTTCATGGTTTCATATCATTCTCATCAATAGTCAATTTATGGTGATAAGTATTTAGGCTGCATTCGAAAATGCTCTAGATACATAATTAGGAAATGATCTTGTATCTCATGAACTATTGACATTTTTAAAGATATAAGCTCATCCCGATGCTACACTTATCAAGACCTTTCATTTGAATACCCACATCAATTTTTCATATATTTATATATGTTATATATATGTATATAGGAAAAATATATGAAAATGCATGTGGGTACTCAAATGAAAGCTCTTCATGAGTGTAACATCGGGATGAACTTATATCTTTAAAAATGTCAATAGTTAAGAAAATACAGTGTAATTCAACAAAAGTCATTGTTTAATAAAGCAAAATTTTATTTATTTATAGTACACAAGTCACGGCAGTCACATAATGACTGCAAGGTTACTAGTTATCTACTAATATAAAACGAATGCAAAAGTAAAATTTCATTAAATAGACAGAGAGAGTAGGTAATTTTTAACTTAGACTGATTGATAGATATGCAAATTAGACCTCATTTATCAAGCTTTTAGATGCAATCCACAAAAATTTTACAAGTTATCGCATTCAATAATTATTTAGCAAACCCTCAGTGAAAATACTAATTTTTGAATATTTTAAAGAATTCAAATTGCTGAACTATACTATTTAATTAAAAAAAAAAAAATTGTGAAAATTGTAGCTTATTTCATAAGCTTTCAGATGCAATTCACAGGAATTTAATAGAATATAACGTTTAGCTGTTATGCGCGAAAAAAAATTAAAAGTGATGATTTTTTAGATTTTTATAGACTTTCAAATTGTTGCCATTCCTAAATTATTTAATTTAGGAAAAAAATACGTAAGCGCATTGAAGCTTGTTTATCAAGCTTTCAGATACAATTTACAGGAATGTGCTAGGATATCACGGTCAATAGTTATTGTGCGGAAGAACAGTAGAAGTGAAAATTCTTGCGATTTTTTAATTGCTATCATTTCTAAACTAATTGAACAGTTATTTACTTTATTTAATAAATAAATTTTTTTCTGTGTACAGAATTGCGGCAGTTAGCGAAGACAAAGCCGGTTATATCGTATATATATGTATAAATATATGAGGATCAATGCAATAGTTAGATTTATATAAAATCTACTAAAAAATGCTTTTTTAACTCAATAAACGCCATTTTCAAGTATAGTTACAAAATTGACTTTTCAAGGACGTTTTTTTTAATTAATATTTTTTTATTTTTAGTACCTAAGTATAAATTTATTGTTTTTTTAATTTGTCAAAACAATTAAAAATATGATAAGTTATAAAATAAAATAACTTTTAAAAAGTATTATTTGAATAATTATTCTTCGTATATATAAAATATTAAAATTAAACGTTTTGTTGATTAGTATGCGGAGATCATTGCTCTTTCAAGGTGAACTTCTCATTGTCAGTCGCTTGCAGGGAGTTGTTCAGCCGAGAATTTAGTTTCCATTTCTTAAAATAATATTGTACTTTTATTAATTAAATTCGTTTAATTAAAACGTTTGTTTATGCTTCAAGTTATTCAAATTATGATTAAAAAATTCCGTTATATTTGTCCAATTATTTTTACGTTAGTTTTTATTTTAATATTTACTTTGATTAAAAATTTACCGGTTACTGAATACCCAAACAAAAGTGAAGGATATTCAGCTGTCAAAAAAATTAGTGATCAAAAAATGGTAATTGTTTTATTAAATATTATTGATTAAAATTTTGAATAATAAAATTTTATAATTTTCAGATGATTCTTGAAGAAGAAAATAGAAAAAGAATTTTTAGAGTGATTAATGTTTGCAAAATTTATAATTTAGGAAATTATAAAAATGATGATTATCAAATTAATAAAATATTTAAATACCCGCCTACTTTACAGTACTCGGTATTTTTTATTGATCAGTAAGTAATTAATTTTTTTTTTTTAATTTAATATAATTTTAGATAAAATTTTTACTCAATAAAAAAATTATTAATATAAAAAATAAAATAACTTTTTAGATATTTAAGGTGTTAAAAAATTTAAAACGAAAAGTTTTATAGTAGAAATTTTATAGCACAGTAAACAAAAGAAGCAATAAAACAAAGTTCAGAATTTCTTTCTAAATATAAATTACACGTAATTTCTTTTTTATTTATTTATTTTATTTTTTTTATTGCTGAACATTTAAATAATATAAAAAAATTAAACTATATAAAGTTTATAAGCATGTAAATGATACTGAATGCCGCTAAAAGTCGATGAAGAAATAAAAACAAATAAATTTATTGTCTAACGAATTTATTTAACAGTGCTCAGTTAATAAATTTAATTAAACTGTTTTAAAAGTTACTTTCGCTCTAAATAATTGGATGTAGGTCATTCCACTCGTTTGTACTTTTAAGTATTTTTTTAACTTATTTTAAAAAAAGTCGAGCCGAAAAAAATGTATGAATTACCAATCGGAAAAATAACAAAAATAAATTTTCGCTGAAATGAAAATATAGAGATGAAAAATTTCAAATTTACGGTTTATTATTTTAATATTAGCTACACCGAGAAGTTTTTATAAATAAAATGTTCACAGGGAATTTTATAAGCTACCACTTTACGCGACCCTCTTCTATAATTCAATTTTTTTCCTTTTTTTTCAATATAGAATAAGAATAATATAATTTTGTTGGAAGTTTTAGTGAATGCAGCCAAATACCGTGAGTTTTATTTTCATCTCAAATATATCAGAGTAACTTTTATTTATACGGATTTATAATGAAGTTTGTAAAGCTTTTCTTTAATTAAAAATCAGAAAATTTTAATAATTTACAAAATTAATGTGATTCAAGAGAAAAAAAACATTCTTGACCTAAAAAATTTTTTTTCTCTTAAATAAATCTATATTATTAAGAGAATAAGTAAAATTTTGTGGCCAGTGTATTTATATGATAAAATGGGTTTTTATGGTTAAATTTGGTATTGTTGGAAAGGTCTTGACCTGAAGTTGTTCCTTTTCATGGTTTGATATCATTCTCACCAATAGTCAATTTATGATGATAAGTATTTAGGCTGCATTCGAAAATGCTCTATCCCTAGATACATAATTAAGAAATGACTTTGTATCTTGTGAACTATTGATATTTTTAAAAATATAAGCTCATCCCGATGTTACACTCATCGAGACCTTTCATTTGAGTACCCACATCAATTTTTCATATATTTCATAAATTTATATATATATATATATATATATATGTATATATGAAAAATATATAAAAAATGCAAGTGGGTACTCAAATGAAAGTTCTTGATGAGTGTGACATCGGGATGAGCTTATATTTTTAAAAATGTCAATAATCAGGAAATGACATTGTATCTTGTTAACTAATGACATTTTGAAAGATATAAGCTCATCCCGATGTTACACTCATCGAGATCTTTCATTTGAGTACCCACATCAATTTTTTCATATATTTATATATATTTATATATGTATATATGAAAAATATATAAAAAATGCATGTGGGTACTCAAATGAAAGCTCTTGACGAGTATAACATCGGGATGAG